GGGGGGGGGGGGTTCCAGGGCGAGAGGGGCAGAACCTCCAAGTTGATGGCGACGAGCAGGCAGGCAACAGGAAACGCTCTACTTGGTTGCACTTGGTCATGTGCTCGTTTCGCTCAGCATCACTTCAGAGTACAGAAACGGAATTAACTGCAGATAGATACAGACAGCGCGACAGGGACAACCCAAGAATATATGAAAAAAAAAAAGTGTGTGTCGTTGTTCGCCCGCTCCGAAAACCTGTAAACACATTCAAGATGTATCATGCAGCCGACCGCCGGGAGAAAAAGGAGGGGGCAGGGGGTAGACCAACAACAACATTGACGGAACATCAATTGAGAGGGACGGCGATCAACACCACCTGTCACACCGCGACCAACTCTACAGCATCGTCATACAACTCATACGAGTAACGTTCGCGCCGGGGGGCACGGGTGCGGACGCATCCACAGTACCAGTAAGTACGTACGAGGGAGAGGGAGGGACGGAGAGAGACAGAGAGAGCGAGAGAAAGAGGACTCGACTCACCGGGCGTAAGAGGGAAAATGAGGATGACGACGAACGGGATGAACGTCACGCAATCCTTGGCAGTCCGGCGTAGCGTTCGAACCTCGCGGGGATTCAGGATGGATCCCTGTTGCCACGAGGAAGAAACCGCCAGCCAGGGCGTCAAAACACACAAAGAAAGTGAAACCGGGGGAGAATCAGGGGTGGGAACGCCGGGGGTTTCCGTAACGGGAGGACTACCACAGGGTGCTCACGACACTAACGCGCTTCCGGCCTGCCAGTATATGTAAATACACACAAAAAAAAAGGTTCCGGTTTCCATGTTGTCCACGGCTCAAAGGAACCGTACAAAATATAACCTCCTGCGGCCTTTGAAATGAAAGTCGACACCCTGCAAGGTACTGGCCCAACCTGTTGCCTCGTCTACGCTTAACACTGCGCGACAGTGTACAAGTGTCGCTGAGGTTGAAACTCGCCGGCCGGGGAATTTCGATAATCAGAAATACATCCGGCAACACAGCAGCAGGTACATGCTGCACCGTCGACCGGAGAATCTGTTCCAAGCCACCTCGCCGGCACCTTACACCTTAGACTTGATCGGATGCGATAGGCGCCTCCTTCCACCGTACACGGACCCCTACCGCTACTGCTGCCGCTGTCGACACCGCTACAGCGGGGGTGGTGTGTGTACCTGCACGGCCTTGGAGACGAGTGTGAGGGCGTACCCGACGTCGTTACCGAGGATCTTCGTACCGGTCCAGTAGAAGTCCACCCCGCTTTTGATCTTGTCGTACGTCTCCTTCGCGTATCTGCTCTCCCCACACAAACGGACGGCAGTGACGACAACACACACACGGAGGGCAGTGACGACAACACACACACCTGCAAGAACAGCAGCACACATTTACCAAAAAAAAATCATCTACGGCGCTAAAATTCAACCGCACCAGCGCCAACAACGGCAAGCAGCCGCATCACCAACAACGGCAACGACAAAAAAAACAAAAAAAATGAAGCAACGACCAAGACCAAGAGTAGCGGCGACGACAAAGACGACGACGACAAACACTTCTCGTGCTTCGTGTACTTCATTGTTGTGGTTGTAGTTGTAGTTGTACTTACCGTGAGACCTTCTCCGGGTCTATGGCGAGCGCCGGGCTCTCAAGGTCCAGCCCGAGTCGGTTCTTCAGATCCACAACCTCCCGGCTCACCAGCTGGCGTCAGTGCCGGCACAACGGCGACGGCGAACAAAAAAAAAAGAAAAGAAAAACGAGAGGGGTTAAGAGTAAGAGAAAGAGACAGAGCAATAGAAG